TGACCTCAGTGGTGGGTCGAGTATATTTATTATTGCTCAAGCAGGTTGGTTGTTGATTCTGGTTTGTCAAATTTACGCTTTTGACCTCACTGGCGGGTCAAGTTGTTGATACCAAATTTGGTCTCGTCTAATGAAGATGCTACACGTGGATATGTATTAAATAAATATAAATATAGCAGGTTTCCCGAGCTGATTATTTAATATCAACCGAGTTCTGAAAAGTCCGGATCGTCCACGTTCGAGCAGAGCAGAATTAAGTGCCGCCAGCCCGACGCGAATATCGAGAAGATCCATTTTCAGTAGACACAATAATTGCCGATAAAGTAGACGTCATTCGAAGTCGTCAAGTGTCATGATCGGGCCCCACGATGTCACCTCACATTTAAAGCAAATGTGCTATTTGTCTCTTTTATTGTTTTATAATGCCCACTTGTCAAAGGGCTTGGAGAGAGATATATAGAGTGAGGAGAAAGAAAAAAAGGGGGATGGATTTTTCACTATTCATTCATCTTCTACAACACAAAAAATAAAGAAAAATGGGAGATCTTCATCTCCTAAAAAAATCAATAAAAATACATATTAATCCAACACCGATTATTCACAGAATAGGGGTATATATTTTCGTTGATCAAATCCGTTTATCAACACAAGTATATTCATTATTGCTCGAGTAGGTTAGTTGTTGATTCTGGTTTGTCAAATTTACGCTTTTGACCTCACTGGCGGGTCAAGTATATTCATTATTGCTCGAGCAGGTTGGTTGTTGATTCTGGTTTGTCAAATTTATTTTTCGACCTCAGTGGCGGGTCGAGTATATTCATTATTGCTCGAGCAGGTTGGTTGTTGATTCTGGTTTGTCGAATTTACATTTCGACCTCAGTGGCGGGTCGAGCGTATTCGTAATTGTTCGAGTAGGTTGATGGTTTTTGATTGGTTTGGTCTTGTCGAAATTATTTTTCAACCTCGGTGGCAGGTCGAGGATATTCATAACTGTTTGAGCAGGTTGATTGCATTTTATTTGATTATGATTTTGTCGAATTGATTTTTCGACTTTAAGGGCAGGTAGATTGGATTCATTACGGCACGAGCAGGTTGATGGTTTTTGCTTGGTTTGGTCTTGTCGAATTTATTTTT